CCAAGAGTGAGAGTTGACTCACAGCATTTCTAGGGAGCCCCCAATTTGAGAGGCATGTTAACCACCGAAAGGACACAGCCACCACTAAACAACAGAGTATTTCTGGTTAGGGTGAGTCTGGGAACATTCAAAGAAGCCCTAGTGGCTCTCTGGTTTAGGCGCTGGGCTAACCATAAGGTTGGCATTTCAAACCCACCTGCCACTTCTCAGGAGGAAGATAAGGCTGTCTGCTCTTGTAAAGATTTATGGTCTCAGGAGCCCTAGATAGGGTCGCTAGGAGTCAGAATCGATTCAACAGCAGTGATTTTGGATTGGGTTTGTGAGGACATTCAGCTGCGTGGAGGGCCATGGAACGGCAAGGCAAGAACAGGAAGTGTGATCACCCACCAGCAGGGAGACACAGGAGTGCTGAGTAGGGAAATGTGGGGGCAGAGAGACAGCTTGGGAAGAGGAAGTCAAGCTCCCAAGTCAGTGCATCTCTCGGGGTCTCCACACTTGTGCTCTTTGGGGGACAGATTTCTGGTGTGCTAAATCTTGGGGTCCTTCCCTCAGCCCCCTGGGACCTTGGTGGAGCAGGTGGGGGGGGGGGTGGCTGGAAGGGCTGGTGACAACCCAGCGTCCTCTCCCCACAGAGAGTGAACGTTCAGACCAACAACGGTGAACATGGGTATGACAATGGATACTGGGACATGAAGACCATCTTCCGGGCAGTGGGCCCCAGCTTTAAGAAGGGTTTTCAGGTGAAGCCCTTCGACAGTATCCACGTGTATGAGCTCATGTGTAAACTGCTGGACATCAGCCCTGAGCCCAACGACGGCAACCTGAACACCCTCTTGCCCCTACTGAGTGAAGCTGTGACAGGTATGTCCCTCCACTCCCCACTGCCCACTGACCACTGCAGGACTCTGACATGGCCTGTCTGGACGAGGAGGGGACCCACAGCCAGAGGGGACCATAGGCCTTCAATCCTTCAAACAGCTATCTCTATTCATTTCTGCTAAGTCTCCTTCATCAGTCTTACACATACACACCTAGACCCTCACCCCAATTCCCCTAATTCTGAAAGGTAAAGATCACCCCAAAGCTGCCAAGATGACTAGGGCTGGACGGGTCCTACTGGGCAGAGCTGGAGGGGTAGACAAAAGAAGGGAGGTGCACCAAGACCTAGGGACCCTCGGGGGCAGTTCAGGGTGAGGGCCTGGTCCTCAGGGTGCCACCCCTAAGCCACTCACTCTGCCTTCCACCTCCCCTTAGATGCTGGTCTCCGGCCAAGCAGCCAGCCCCACTTGGTGATGGGGCTGATGGTCACCGCGGGCCTTCTGATCAAGATCATATAGTGACCACAGCACCAGGTCAGAGGCTGGGGGGTGGGGGAGGAGCACTTCCCATCATCCTCCATCTAATGCCCCAGGAAGCCTGGACAGAGCTGCTGGCCACTGACCGAGTGGCCTACTGTCACCGAGCAGACAGGAGGCCCCAGGCCAAGCTTCTGTCTACGTCTCTGCTTTAGGCTTGGAAAAACCACAACTGCTGCTGTGACGTCAACCCTGACTCATGGTGCCCTGTGTGTGTCAGAGGAGAACTGTGCCCACAGGGTTCTCAGTGGATGATTTGTCATAGATTGCCACGCCTGTCTTGTAAGGAGCCCCTGGTTGGAGAAGGTATTTCCAAGCAAACAACCCAGATGCCTGGGCCATTCAACAATACCAGAGCAGTCTGCAGCCTCTTCCCAGAGCTGTCAGCCTCGCTTCCTTCCTGTCCAGGTCTCCAGCTCCTGTAAGGGGAAAGGAAGACTCAGAACCACCCTTGTGAGTCTTGTTAGGGAGGAGGACGGCAAATGTGAGTCCCTGGAACACACCAGGGAATCTGGTCCCCAGGGGGACTTCCCTGCTGACCAGTGACAGTCCTCCTGGTTTCTGTGCCTGTGTAGTGACCACTTCTGCAGTCAGAGCCGAAGGAACCATTGTCTCTGGAGCTTAGCACACAGTTGCGGTCACCATAAGGCACAATGATGCTGAGCCGAGAAATCAGGAATGAGAAGTTGACTCTATAGCAGCTGATTACTGGTGTAGGAGTCCCCAGCTTACGAACATGGGACTTACAGGCAACTCCTACTCGCCCTTTAACATAATCTAATTTTGTCCTCACTCTGATCGAGCTCATCTTTATTTGCAGCAGTCTTCGGCACAATCTCCACTTGCTACATGTGCAGTTTTTAAGTCATGGAAAAGGCTTCCAGCCTTTTCGTCCACTATGTTGTTGTTAGGATGCTGCCCGGTCCTGGGCCATACCCACAATCTACTCCATCTGAGCCGATTGTGGCAGCTACTGTCATTCAGGGCCGTCCTCTTGTTCACTGGCCCTCCACTTTATCAAGCATGGTGTCCTTTTCCAGTCAGTATGAATTAGAACCGTATGCATCTGTTCTGACTTAACTCCAAACTCTACTTAAAGACGCACAGGAGCCAATCTCCCTCTAAGCTGGGGAGAGCGTGTCACTGAACGCCGCGTCAGAAGGATAGTCTCAGAATCTGCCTTCAGGAGTAGTACCTGTTGGCCAGTCCCCAACCCTGGGCGCTGTGACCATAGCTCCCCCGTTTAGATGTCTTGTCACCGTGGTGCATGCCACGCGGAACCAGGGTTACTAGCCTGTGGGAGGCTTGCACTCTCCCCCCATCCCCACACCCCTACCTCACGCCTCCCCCAGACCTGCTCTCCCCTACCTGCTCTTTCCTCCCTGTCCAACATACGGTGGTTCCTCTTCCAGGAAGCTCCTTCAGACGCCGCCAGCCAGCAAGACGTCAGGCTGCCCTGTGATGGATACATGGGCCTGTCTCCCAGCTCAGGCCCACCTCGGACCCACCCCTCAGCCCTGTTCCTTCACCCTTGTCCCCGTCCCCTCTCCTCACACCTGCCCCCCTCCCCTACACTTGCCCCATCCCCTTAGACCTGCCCCATTCCCTTAGACCTGTTTCCCCTCCCTTAGACCTCTGTCTCCCCCCCCTCCCCACTCTCCCTCTTAGGCCTCTGTTTCCCCTTAGCTTTGTCCTCTCCATCCTCTTACACCTATATCCATTTATACGTCTTATCTCCCCCACCTCCAACAGCCTCCATGCCCTGTTATACCTCTGGCCCCTTCCCCTTTATACCTAAAAACCCCAACTCTGTGGTTAGCAGCCAAACACTTAAACCTACTGAGCCATCAGCGCTCCTTATATCTGACCGGTTACAACTCCATGTATTCCCCCCCACCTTACATTCCTGTCTCTCCCACCTCCATCCCCTGAGAAAAGGGTCAAAAGAACTCCAATTAAATGTGACTCGAGTTTTGTGCCAACTGGGTAGAGTCGTGCTTGCTGGCGGTCCCCAACGCGCAGACCCCACCTGTCCCAGGGTCCCAGTCCACACAACCCTCTTCCCTGGCAGGTGAAACCCGCAGTACAAAGCCGCTCGCTCCACCCTGCCCTCTGTAACCACACGGGGGCGCGCGGGAGCCCTCCGCGGAGGTCTGGAAGGCGCTGCTGGTGAGCCGGCGGCGGGAGGTGGCGGGGTCTGTCCAGGCGGGAGAGAGATGCCCAGGTGCCCAGGAAAGGGGCCATCCGCCCCCACAACTGCCAGATCTCTTCTGGGGAGGTAAGGGGGGAGGACGTAGACTGTTACTCCTTTTGTTGCAGTCCCAAGGCACCTAATGAATGAGTCGGAGTGGAAGTTCCCCATAGGGTTTTTTGGGGGAAACAGATTACCAAGGCGCTTCTGCATGGATTAGAATCTCCAACTTTCTGGTTAACATCAAGCATGTTAGTCATTTGTACCACCCAGAGACTGACTAAAGACTGTTGTACTAAGGCAGTTCCAACTCAGCTCCATGTAACAGAGTAGACCTGCCCCATAGGGTTTCCTAGCTGCCATCTTTAAGGAAACAGACCTCCAAGTCTTTTCTCCTACAAGGTCAGCAGTTCAAACCCACCAGCTGCTCAGCAGGAGAAAGATGAGGCTCTCTGCTCCCGTAAAGATTTAGACCCTTGGACACCCTGAGTGGGAATCGCTCTAAGTGGGCAGTGTCGGTGGGGTTTTTTGTTTGTTTTTCTCCTGCTGAGCAGCTGGTGGGTTTGAACTGATGACTTTTTGGTTAGCAGCTGAATGCTTAACCATTGCACCACCAGGGGTCCTTAACCCACTGCCATCAGTGAATTCCAGTTCACAGTGACCTTAAAGGATCGAGGAGAACTGCTCCCTAGGGTGTCTAAGGCTGCCAATCTTCAAGGGAGAGCCCAGGGGTGGAGTTGTAGGATACGTGCTAGACTGCTAACTGCAAAGTCAGCAATTTAAATCCACCAGTCTCTCCTGGGAAACCCTATACAGGGTCGCTATGAGTCGGAACCAACTTCACAGCACTCAACAACTACGGAATCTCTCAGAGAACTGTGGACAGCCTCAGCTTTCTCCTGAGGAGCTGGGTTCCAATCTGGTTCCGTACAAACTGACCCCAATGTCAGTTCCAAACTGCTTACCACAGTTAACAGACACACAGGACCCCTTCATGCGTATGGGGGAGTCGACCCTGGATGGACAGGGCAAAAAGTGTGAACTTTGTGTTAAAAAAGAAAGAAAAATGGAATGAAGAGTCCGTGAACTGAATGAATCGTTATCTTCAGGGGGAAGAGTGAAACCACCACAAACATTTGTAGGAGGGGGTGAGGAAAGGGGGGTGCACGTACAAGTGCGGGGGTATGTGTGCAAGCATGTGTGTGTGTGTGTTGCACATCTGGGCACAAAGCCTGTCCCCGGAAGGATGCTGACTGAGGAGTGAGCACAGTGGACCCCGGGTGAGGACCTGGGGGGCCCGTTCTCCACCCTGCTGAAGTGGATGTTGGCCCACTTGAAAGGCCAGTCCTGGCTCTCCCCCCAACTCACACGCTGACTGGCCTTGAGCAAGAAAGACACTTAATCTTCCAGAGCCTCAGTTTCCTCATCTGAGAAATGGGCTAAGATCCAGAAGACTGCCTCCCTGAGGTTTCTGGGGGATGAATGAGATCATCCACAGGGTGCTCAGCTAAGAGGGAACATGCAGGAGGAGCTAGGGGTGATTAAAACCCTGCTCAGGGAGGTTCTGAACTGGTCCAATGAGGTCCTTGGAAACGAAGCTAACTGGAAGGATTTGAGATGGTCTTTGAAAACAGGTTTACCAGGCTCTGTCTGCTCCACATTCCCTTCTCGTCCCTCCACGTCTCTTGGGTCCACCTCAGACTTCGGCTCCAACCTGCCCTCCACGCTGCTGACCACCTGCCCTCATCTCAACTTCCATCTTAGCTCCAGACCCGCTAAGGGCCCTTCAGCCTGTGGGTCTGCTGGCCTTGTAGCCAAGAGTTTTCCCAGAAGGCCTTCCCCCACTCCTCCCTGCAGCTACTCCCAGTCCACCCCACCCCGGCAGGGTGGACAGGCTCAAGCCCAGCCTCGGTCCTGTCAGGCCAGCCCCACCTGACTGGAGGAGACCAGACACTATGTCAGGTGACAAAGCACGTGGAGAGATGAGCACTCGCAGGTGCTGTGTTACCAACAGGCCCACATCTCCAGGCTCCTCTGAGACCCACAGTCACGTGTGCATTTGCTCACCTTCATCAATCTACGTTCTTCCTGTCTCCAGAGACCGGACCAGCAGGCACTGGGAGCAACACTCATGACTGGCTTTATCAAACACACACACACCAAAAAAAGAAGAAAGAGAGGGAGGGAGGGCGGAATGGAAAACAGAGGGGATAAAGGAATCTGGTCTGTCCCACATTTTGGCAAATACTCCTATTCCGTCACTCCAGTTGTCACAAGTGTGTCCCTAGAAGGTCCTGGTGGCTGACTGAATACTCACAGTGTTAACCCTACCTGCCTGAACCCAGCTCTGAAGATGCTTTCTCCACCTGTGTGGTTCTGGGTGTGGAATGGATACTGGAGCAGCACAGTCTGGGTTCCAATCTCAGCATTGACTGGTTCTGTGACCCACGGCAAGGTGCTTAACTTCTCTGGGCCTCCATCTGTAAGATCGGGAACAGTAACAGTACCTGTCTCATGTTGTTGTTGTTAAGTGCCTTTGAGTCAGTTCTAACTCATAGCGACTCTGTATAGGGTTTGTGAGGAACAGCTGGTGAAGTTGAATCACCAACCTCGCAGTTCAAACCGACCTTCTAGTCCAGTGCATTAACCCACAGCACCACACCAAGACTCTGTCTCTAGGGTTGTGTTGTTGCTGTAATGATTAAGTGAGCTAATGTTTGCCAGCAACTTACCACAGGTCTGGCACATGGGAGATGGAGTCTTCACCATGTTCATCTGTTAGGGTGATAGG